CACCACGGTTTGCCTGGAGTTCAGGTGTGTGTCTCTGTGTGTGTGCGTGTGTGTGTGTGTGTGTGTGCGTGTGTGTGTGTGTGTGTGGGTGGGTGGGTGTGTGGGTGTGTGGGTGTGGGTGCGTGCGCGGGTGCGTGCGTGCGTGTTTCTCATTCTGTTCTGGAATCTGGGAATGGGTTGCATGATAGGCCAGATGCTGTGCAATCGGCGATTGCATGCTCGCCAAGGTTACAGGAATCTTCGTGGACAATGCCAAGGCTCTCAAAGGTGCAGACGAGGATGCGATGTACCTCGAGGCATCAATCCCCGTGCTTGCATTGCGTGGCTGCAAGAGCGTCAACGATTGTCCAGAATCTAGAAGCTGTCGCAGAGAAGGGGTCATGGGCTTGCAATGCTCCCGGGAACTTCGACCGGAGGCGTTGACTGAGAGGAAGCGGTGGATCGCAGACATCAAGGACTGAATCCACTCTTGCTGTTCGACTTCGTCGGAGGTTGCACTTGTTTTGAGTGCTGGAAACTTGAAAAGGTGGCAGGTGTGGAAAGCCATCCCGCCACGTCTTTGCGTGGCTCCAAGGATCAAAAAGAGGGCAGGATGCGGCTGCGCTGTTCCGCAGCAAGGGCCGGGGGGGCTCGAGATGGCTAGAGGGGTGTTCCTCGCCATGACTTCAAATCAGCGGGTCCCGAATGTGTGCACAGAGAGACCGGCAGCACATGTTCGTACAAACTACATCAATCCCGGTCTCGGATGACAGGGCATCTGTCCACGCTACCTGGGTCGATTGCTGGAGCGCCGCCCCGGCTGCCAGGACTTGTTCATCAAACTGGCTCACATCAATGGCCAGTTCACCCTGGAAGATTTCAAGGAGCAGATGTACAACATCAAGGCTGCTCCGTCGTTCGGCCCTCGTCGGTCCGTCCTTGCTTTGGGCCCTGTGCCAGGTTCAGACCCTTTTCCGCAAGCTCGGCATCAATTTGGACGGCATCAACGCCGAAGAACTGTGGGACCCGGAAGCCACTAAAGCAGTTGCGACTCTCAGCATCCTTTGCCCCAGAAGTTACCGACTTTGGAGAAGAGGACATTCTGGATGCAGACCAGAGCGGCTGCATCGACGAAGAGGAGTTCGCCAAAGGCTTGCCCCTGGCCTGAAACTCCGACACCTAAGGCCCCAAGGGGAAGGACCCCAGGTTTGGTTCTGTCAAAAAGGGGCCGTGTAGGGTGTTAGGGCACCTGCGCGAGTTCGAGAGTACTGAGTCAGGAAGGACGTGTTTGCGCTTTGGCCGTGCAGGGAGGCTATACTCATGTTCCACCGTCCCAGGAAGTTTTTCCAAGGGCCGGCGCAGAGCATCCACGTCTACCGCTTGATGCGCGAGGGCTCGAAGCTCCACGACAAGGCTTCTTTTGTGGCTGAAATCAAGCCCTGCAGGCATTTCACTTGGATGTTTCTCCTCCAGCAAGAAGCTGAGTCGGAACTCCTAGGTTAGGTTCTGAACCCTCAAAGACCATGTGAGTCCGGGTTGCTTATCGACGATCCGAGCTCTTCATCTTCAGGGCTGGGCCTCAAAGTCCCCTTTCCGGTGTAAGCATCGGTGCTTGAAGCCAAGCTCAAACTGACGATTGCAGTCTTGGCAACTCAACGCTTGCTAAGGCATCGTAGAACGGCAGAGTCGCTGAAAGACTGATGACCATCGATATCAAAAATGGTAGAAGCCCATAGCAGAGGCGTAAGCAGCACCGAAGCACTGGTACCTCCACTGGGATAGGTCGTATGCGTGGCGCTGCTTCGTTCGAAACCAGAGCTCTGCCAGGGTTATGACGGACGGTGAGTCTCCAGCTGAGGCTTTAAACCTGAACTCAAGTCCATTCAAAGCCATTCTTTGGAGACGTGCAGCCAAACAAAGTCCGGCCTAGTCTAGTCTTGTGTTCTCAGTGGCTTCGTAAACAAACATTTCTTGGTAGCTGACTCCTGGATTCTGGGCTTGCGCAAACTGTTGCACCCTTCCTTCCCAGCCTTTCGAGATAGAGCCCGGATCGAGCCAATGCTTTGGCTGCAGGTGGAGCGCTTGACGGAAGTTTGCCATGAAATCTTGGAGCAGCAGAAGCTCCATATGCCAGAATAATAGCGGAAGATTCGACGCAGGATTTATTTGGTGTCAGTGACTGATAGGATGCGGCAGTTTCAGATGCTCGTAGATGTAGCGGGCCTATATTCACTGAGAGCACCTTCACCTTGGAGCTAGATTCGGAAAGATGCCACGGACCCATCGGCCAGCAGAACCAAGGGTGGCACATTGCTGCCCCAGCCGTTACGATTATAACTGCAAGCGTTATTTGCTTGAACCTCATTACAGGTCCACGAATGTGGAGCCTTGTTTCCCGCTGATTTCTCTTCTTGGCACTGATTGCAGGTCAGAACCACCGACGTGGATGAGTGTCGTATAGGAGATCAGATCAAGAGCGGGTTCGAACCAATGTATGCGTACCGAGGCGAACCGACTCATTCAACAAAATAAGTTTTGAGCGAAGCAATCAAACAAGCCGATGAACCAGTTGCTACCCCCGACCGCACGGTGGGTTCAGTGCCTGGGCGGAGAAGTCAGCTCCAACATGTAGAAACCTACCTGTGCATGAGAGTGGACGAGAAAGCTGAGTTTTGCTGTCGGTGTCGCCAGATCGGCATCTGTGAAGCTTGAAAGTTAGCGGAGCCTCTGAGGCACCTGGAACTTAGTTGGACATTCCATTAACCGATTCTTCATAAACTCCATTCCCCCGACAAGATTACGTACCTGGTGATTTCTATGCCAACCCTATGCCTCATGGTAGCCATACATACGCGAGTATACATATCGTAGACAGGTTTTTCTCGGTATCCCTGAAGAGGCAACCCCTCGCAGCACGCCGCGGCGAGCCCCGATCTGCTGCGCGCCGGGCGCTGGGTTCCCAGTCGCCTCTGGGGTTGTAAGCAGGGTTCCGCTGTTTACAGGGTCAAGAAATGATGTTTATTGGGACCCCGATTTTCTGCAAAAGTGTGAGGACCATGACTACTCGCAAAGTGCCTCATTATTCGCTAGTGTTAGATAATAGACAAGATCGCTTTGCCACGCCTGGATTTCAATAGCTTTGCGTGGGTTTGAGAGGGAATTTAGGGGCAGGTTTTGAGGTTCTTCTCCTGAGGAGAAGCGCTCTGGATGTAGGCGGCTAGTGCTTTGGGCATGTCTCGGCGTTTGAGGCCTTTGCAGTGTGCAGCGTGGAGAAATGCGGCTGTGTCGAGGACACCGTCCTTGCAGTCATAGCACTGCAGTTCTAGTGCATGGCACGAGTTTCCACATTGTTCGTGGCTTTCAAAGCAGGAGTTTCCGCTTCGGACTTATCCCGCCTTGAAACTTTAGGGGCCGTGGGGCCTTACGGAGGGCTTCAGGGCTGCGCACGCGTCCGAGAAGCCGGTCATGCGGAAACTTTGTGGAAACTCAGGCCGGTTATGCAGAATCGTTGTGGAAACATTTGCGGAAGCTTTTGTGGAAATGTTGTGGAACACAGCGACATACGCTTAATACTTGAGAATGCACACGTTTTAGGATGACAAAACGTAAAGGTTCTACAACGCTTCCGCATAACTTGCCCGAGTTTTCACAAAGTGCCCGCATGCCAGGCCCAAGTTTCCACTTTCCACAAAGTTTCCATATAATTACCCGGCAAAAGTGTCCACACAAGTTTCCGCATCCCCGCCCCGAGTTTCGCCATGCGCGGGCGAAAACTGGTTCAATTCTTCGCAATCTATTTTTGAAAACATGGCACGCGCGCGTGGCCAAACCTCCCCCCCTCCACTGGATCCCTTTCCCCCAGTGATCCATGTCGATCCCCCCCGCTGCGCACTGCACGGGCACAAGTCACAAGTACTGTAGCTTGCTTTGAGTTGCCCGTCCACTCAGCGCCTGTGGGTAATCTGTGGAGGGTGGGCATGGGGAATCCGGGGTCAAGTTCGCGGCAAACTCGTTTCAAGTTCTTCGCTTCAAAAAACTCAGGCCCGTTCTACCTCTCAAAGCGCCTTTCAAGGCCCCAAACGTGTTCAGGCAAGACTTGCAAGACGCCACTGTAATCATCGGTGCAAGCCGCAGTCAAAATCCAACAGATGGCAACATGTCGCCCTGGTGAGGATGTGGCGTGTGCTGAGATCGATGAGTCGTTCTCCACACAGGTGGGTGCTGCAGTATTTTCGGTATGACTGTCGGACTCGCGTCTCTGAGTTTCCAGGATTTTGCCAGCATGGAGCGACATGAGTCATTAAATCATTTGCCCCAGCACAGTGGCCCTGAATCAGAGCGGGACATCATGGACCCCCTGCACCAGCAATGGAAGCTGGCGTGTCCATGGATTGACAGTTGCATTGCTATCATCATAACTACCTGTCATGTATCATAACTTTTGTATGACAACGACAAAACTTGTACTGTGAAAGTTCCCAAGCATTCTTTCGGTCATGGCAAGTTCTATATTCCCAGGCCTCGGACATTTCGGAGGAGGAATCTGCCAGCGGCACAGTAGCTTCGGCGGTGAGGGTGAAGCCCTGGCAGTACGTGGAGGCCTCTTCACACCTTGACCAGATGATGGCAGGAATGTAGGAAGAAGGAAAGGGGGTGTTGGGTTTAGGGCTGTTTAGTTATGTATCTAGGGGGGCTTTGGACTGCAAAAGTGTTGCGAATTGCGCTTGTGCCCGAAAAGAAACCGCAGACAGGACCTCCAATTCCGCGGTATGTCGGGCGATTTGTACCTAGTGCTTGTTTCTGCTGCGTTTGCGTTCAAGGCCATTTTCTGCAGGCTTGCTTTATCTTTCTGTCGGGGGACCAACTGTCAACATTCATTGCCCGTCCCATCGAGCTTCAATTTTACCTCGCATGTCGTTTGCCGCACTGTCAGGCAATCTCTCGAGAAGTCATGCCTTGGCATGCTGGGCTCACAGTGGCGTTTGGCTGGAATCTGAAGCACACCTAGCTACAGGATTTGCGGGGCTCGTGGTGCAGTTTCCTCGCAGCGATGGCCAGACGGCCTTGCCGGGCGACGGGGTGTAGAGTGGAAAGTGCACGAGCCAAGCTTTCCTTTGCACCTTGTCATGCTCGCCGTATGTCGAAACCAGAGGGACTGGAAGTCGACCCGATCCGCGCAACGATGCTCCGAACGCACGTGTATATGGGCCTCTGCTCACACGTTTGTGAGTGAATGGCCAAACGGTGAGTTCAAGGAATGGACCTTAGTAACCCTTAGTATAGATTCGAAATAGTGGGATGCTCGTCACTGGGAGCTGCTACCAACGTCAAGGAGCCTTTAATCCTGTAAGACCCTCCGACACCCTATGTTGCCTCTACGTGGGGCCTTAGCTACTTACGATAGGGTTCGTTAGCGCAGCATTGATTTAAAAGAAGAGGATTAGATGAGGGGAGGTTCGAAATCGTGGCACAGGCGAGGCGCCAGGCCCGGCCTACGACACCGCCGTCCCGGCTCTCGACGGCTCAGGTGGGATCCTGGTGTTTTCGGGAGCTTTGCTCAAAGGCAAGCGATTCATCATAAGGGCTGTGGGTGTCGCCCCGTGTAGGGAAGGTGGACCCCTGCAACAGTAAGTTCGGGCTTTGTGTCGTTTTAGGAGCTCTTCTGTCTGCCCGTGCAGGTCGTCATCAAGTCGCACCCGGGATCACAGGCCGAGCCGCATCTACGTGCATAAACACGTACATGAACACAGACATGCTTGCAGGACATGCAAACATAACTGCTGCATACTGTAGAAAGTGGCGCAATGAACATGTATGTGCGTGTGTAATTTATATATTTAAACACCTACATGCCTATTGGGCACATGCGCTCCATATGAATAAATAAGTATATATATATATGTATATACACACATACACACACCTCTACACGGTTCATCGTATGTGCTTATTGTATTTCCTTTTGGTATTGGTAGTGGTAGTAGTGGTAGTAGCAGTAGTAGTGGCAGTAGTAGTAGTAGTAGTAGTAGTAGGAGAAGTAGTAGTAGTAGTCGTAGT